ATAGAGATATGCTCTCTTTAGAACTAAAAGACAAAAGAAGGAGATGGCAGCACATCATAAAGAAACAAAAGGTAGCCAGTACAACAGATGTGTTGATCGAATTCATGTTTGTTCTCTTTTGTGCACCTACTGTTGATGTCTGTTCTGGTTGTGCCGAAGAGGACACCATGATGTACTACTCTGCGGTAGTCACACTCTGTAAGGGAAACACAAATGTGTATCGTGGCCAGGAAGCCCAAGCCACTAGCTGGCCAGCTGGCCTAAGTATGGGATGGTTTCTGGTGCCAGTGGAATGATGGCTTTAGCATCACCACCAACATTAAACATCCAAATAATAGGAAAACAGCTAAATCTCTTTTTCAGCTCTTTTGATTCAGCAAACCACAGAAGTGTGCATCACAGCTGGCATATGTTCAGGAGTGGGACAGATAGAGCAGTGAAGACAACAGTATCAGAACTGCTTGTTAGAGAGGCAGTAACTTTGGAAACCTCCTTGCCCCACAGCATCTCAACACTGGCTTTCAGGGCCTGACTGTGCCTGACAATTGCTGTAACTTTCTGGAACGGACAGTCCCACTCTTTTTCTTTTGTTACACATCCATTGGTGGCAGAATGTCAACAACTGAGGGCATGTTTTCCAGGAGAGCATGTCTGAAAATGTTTTGGTGTTATCCCACTATTTAAATGATATATCAAGCCTCCCCGATCTCAGTGGCAGCTGGCTTTTCAGTCTGCCTGTTACTCTACATGTTGTTTGGAACAGATATAAACACTCTTGTTTTCCAGTGTGATTTCCAACCACACTGTAATGAATAGCCTTTTTTGTATAACCTGACCTTTAGGCTGTTTTCAGACAGACATTAGCACAGCTCCTTCATTCATTTCTATGAGGCCACTGCATCGAGTCTGCAGGGGTCCGGAAACAACAAGAAAAAACATCTGGCAAAAAAGTAAAATCTAGCTCAGCTTTTTCTGCATTCAACAAGGTGTTGTGGTTGTGCAAATTCATATTGCAGTTAGCTTGGTCTTTCTAATGTGAGTGGAATATAATGTATGTTCTGTTTTATCTTGCGATTTTACAGATGGAAGGTAATAATCACTGACATGATACTCATAGACCTGTTACTCTAACTGGCCCTACTGAAATGTATTCCATCGTCTCACTGGTACCCAAAGCAACATGCTGCCACCACCGCATCCATTTGTGTGTGTGTGTGTGTGTGTGTGTGTGCGTGTGCATTTTGATTGCATGGCTGCAGTAACTGAACCCCTGGTTACTCTGCTGAGTGTCAACTGGTTAAATTACCATTCACTTTGTCCTGCTCTTTGTTATTACCTAAGATGTCTTTAAAGATCAAATATTTTTATTGTCAATTCACTATATGTGCAGGACATACAGACAAATTGAAATACTGTTTCTCTCTCACCTAATGTTGAATACCCATACCATTTAAGAAACTAAAATAGAGTAAAAGTAGAATAATGCAGCTGAATTGAATTGTTCTCATGTAGTTCTCTTTCTGTTATCAGATACTTAATTAGCACAAAATATTGATTTGATTGGCTCATAATCTCTGACTGTCAACACTTATTCTTATTCCTACACTGCTGCATTGAGATGTGGATCATGTTACTATTCTAACATTATGAAGTCATCTGACAGAATTAACATTAATTCAGGTTAATAACACCTTTACAGACAGTTATCTTTTTAACATTACTAGTGCACATTTCTTGAATATGTCTGGGCAGCAATTTTTTCACTACATTAAAATGTAATGCCAGGATTTTTAGATTTGTCCACCCTGGAGACAGCTTTTAAAAAGTTCAGTTATGGGGTTCAGGACCTGCCGACTCGATGGGGACATGGGGCTAAAACGGAGAGAAATAGATTCCTTTTCATATTTCACTGGGTTAGTGTGTACATACTCTGAAATTTCAGTCCACATGCAGCACAGGATGCATAGTCCAATAAAAGGGATACATGCACTTTCCAAGTTGCATCAAACCACTACTGCTTGTGGCTGTTCCAGCAGAACCTGCAGTCTGATCTTACCTTAAAATGCTTGCTGTTGCTCCCTCAGACAGCTGAGATGATGCATTTAATTTCCTGCCCTTACAGACTCGTTTCTCTCTCTGTCTCACTTGCTCCCTCAAACACACACATACCCATGCTCTCTAAAGTGTATCCAGGTCGAGTGGGATGGAAAAGACCATGAAACATGCTGGAAAGTAATTTGGGAGTCTTGTCCATTAGTGTTACTGCCTGACACGACCCTATGAGAAGCTGTGGAGAAGGGGGGCATTTTTAATAATTTCATATTTGATTTCTTCACCCATTGAGAGGGAATGTGGTAGCAGGGTTAGCCAGAGGTCAAAAGGTCTAGTGGATTTATTATTATATTTTTCTGGGACTGTCCCTATTTTTCTTTTTCATCCTTGCACTTTTACAATGCTTATTATCACCATTCCACCTCTTCCACAGCTGGCTTAATCTGGTGTCTTGAATTCATCAGGTATGAAGTCATATCCATGTTGCTGCCAGTGCCCACCAAGTTTATTTCAGACATATACTCACAGCTTAATGTGGGTTCCAGATCTACAAACACTCTGACAAATGTTCCTACATTTTCCGAACCATGTTCCAACATGTTCCCCACGCTGCTTCATACTCCCAACCCATCTTATTCTTTTCCTGTGTGCATAAAGTGTTTTTATAGGCAAGAGGTCACCATTAGTCTACTCTTTTCTTTCCCTCCCTCCGGCTACCTCAGTTATCTAAAGCCCATCCAGTTGTTTGAGACTAAGCCACAGCAAGTCTGCAATGTCTGCTTTTGTCTTTATACTTAATAGTTGGTTTGTGGAGAAAGAATGTTTTTTATTTTGAGGTTTCTATTGGAGATCAGGCAGGAGTCAGTCCATGTTAAGGCTCTGAGAGACAAAGCAGCTGAGAGACGAAGCAAGGTCAGTGCTGGATGGACGCTTTCTTGGATACTTGAAGCACCACATCAGAGAGAGGAGAGTTATTCGAAGACTCATAAAGAGGGAATGGTAACAGAGAGAAGCAGAGGAGAGGATTTTTCTGAGAAGTCAACTAGCTTTCAGGGTACTGAGCAGTATATGAACTTGTTAACTAGGCCTTTTCTCTTTGACCTTAATTCAAACCAAGGATTAGTCATCTCATCAGAGGTCTTGGTGAAAAGCCAAGGCTAGTATTGCTTCGGGCAAACTCAAAAGAAGGATTGGGAAGGAAACTAGCTGTTTATTCCCTTGGAGAAAGTGTTTGCATATTTCCTTTGGCAAGGAACTTGAAGCGATTAAAAAGCTAATTTATTTGGACTGACTTCAAGAAAAGAAAAACACACCATCTACATTTAATGTTGTTATAGATTTGGTTCAGTTTTATAGCTCAACCCAGGAGCATGCTGTTTATCCACCTGGCTTCAGCTCATCAAAGGATCCAAGAAGTTATTATAATCTCTTTCTTCTCAGGCAATGGAGCTTCGTAAGAGAGTAAAGCTGAGTGAGCTAGAACAGAATTTGGGCTTTTCTCAAGATGCACCAGCTGGAGGGAGATGCAGCAGTAACCTGATGTGGGGGACATCAAGATCTAATGCAACACGGGAGTGGGTCAGAGGATCCGGTACTTATTCTGGTTTATACATTCTACCCTGGTGGCCTTGGCGACGGAGTGTTTCCATGGCAGCAGGGCTGTTACTGGCTGGGCTGCTGGCCATGACTCAGGCCTGTTGCGTTAATGCCATACATGAGAATCTTCTGTGGTTTTCTCAGCTCACGGTAGGAGTTGGCACTTGTATTCTTGATACCATTTTAACTGAAACTTTGAAATAACCCAAACACATAGCAGACAAGCTCTTGTCCACAGTAATGGCCTGAGGTATGAATTCAAAAGGGTTTGGTTGGTAACATGGTGAAAATAAAAACTATCATACTCCAGCTTTTTTTGTCCACAGCTGTTATACTCTGTTGTTGTCCTTGGTGTTATGAGAATTCATGCCCTGTCTTCATTGTGGTGGTAGGCACTTGTTATTTATGTTTGAAAAAGATATTACCATTTTGAAAAAAACAACATCTTTAAAAGGTATGGGTTTAAGTGATTTGATGATCATCCACTGATATGCTTACACTGAGGTACCAGCCATTACAACAGCACTACAGAAGGTAACATCATAATACAGAGGCCACCAAAACAGTGATATCTTGGTAAAGGCAGGTATACAATAAGCAATGCAAAACCAAGGAAGATCTTTGGAACAGAAATGACAATGTTTTTATTTTTTATAAAACGGGAATTAATTGTGAATCATGTTGATGCTCATCAATTACTTGATCTGGGTTGTCCAGTAATTGGGTTGGTGGTTTGATCCCCAGCTTGATCTTGTCCTGTTCATGTGTTCTAGAGCAAGACACTGAACCCCAAATTTCTCCCAATGGCTTGCCAAGCACAAATGATGTGTGTGTGTGTGTGTGTGTGTGTGTGTTAAAGGATGAATGAGAAGCAAATTGTAAAGTGCTTTGTCTGCCCAATAGAAAAGTCAGACATGTCAGAACAGTGCCAGAGATAAGAGATGGCTTCTAGAGAACCAAAAAGCATGATAATATATTGTAGGTGGTGCTATGCTGGGTGTTTAGAGTGGGATGTCTACCCTAGGTCCAACAACATACATTTCCGGGTTGCAAGTGAGAGCAGACGTCTTTACTGCTCCTCTTGTCTGTTCTACGATTTTTCATATCTTCTACTTTTTCAAGTCTTTGAACAAATTCTACAACTATTAAAATGCCTCCAAGAGGGAAAAGAGCTAATACATCAGATGCGAATGAGGATGTTGAAGCAGAAGAGGATTATATTTCAGCAGCGCAAGTAACAGAGATGTTGAGTCCTCCATGTTTCTGACATCTTGCCAGGATTTGTGTTTTTCATATTACAGAGAATAGAAGTGATTGATTTCATACAACCAAAATCCCCTTTTTGCTTTCAGGAAGTGGAACGAGAGATTTCCTTTCGGACAGAGTGTGGACTGTACTACTCATACTACAAACAAATGATACAGGCCCCATCCATACAAGAAGGTATGCATTATTAGAGAGAGAGAGAGAGTTTGTACTGAAATAGTTAACAAAGCCAGAGACTTTAGAGCAATTGTGTGAGGAATGGATTAAACACTGTTTATTTAATATTTAATACTATATAAAGATGGACAGGTGACAATTTTTAGAAGCTAAGCCACCACAAGCTGATTGCCCTCTGGTAACTGGCTGCAGTGTGGCTTATAAATACTGCCCCCTCCATGTTTGGAGATGGGACAAACTAAAAATTTCAATTAAATACATTTTTCCAAAAGTGATTTCTGTCATTTTAAGTAGAAATTATGCGGCTGATTTTCTAATTTGCTTTTAATAATTTATTTGATGGTGTAAAAAGAGGTGTATTTCAGATGGTTTGATAGCTTTGTTTGGTGGTATGATACAGTGGTTCCACTTCTTTGACCTTGACCTTTGACAATCAAAATCTAATCAGTTCATTCTTCAGTCCAAGTGGACACTTGCACCAAAATTAAAGAAATTCCCTCAAGGCATCCTTGAGATATTGCATTCCAGAGAATGGGCTGGATGGACAGACATACAACTCAAAAATAGAATGCCACCCTGCAGGTGATGGCCCCATTCATGACCTTCATTACTGTGTGGAAGCTGGCCCTTGGATGTCATTAGCAACTCTGTCCTGCTCTTTATTAGATTTGGGGAGGTTTAAGTCCTGCAGTTCTTGTCAACATAACCCGAAAAAGTATAACATTTTCATTATGCATGTATTTGTTTGTCGTCATCCTAAAAGCCTTTTCTTTCATAGTAGTAAAAGTCAGATCTTGACATTTATTGAACTTACCATGCTAGGATAAACTAACTGTGCACTGCAATAAAAGATCAGTGCCACATCCTTCTCATGGTTTTTGGCTTTTAACTTAATTAGGTAAGTTAATATTCAGATAACTGCAGTTTTGTGAAACTGCTGTAGCTATTTTAATTATATCATCTCAAAACAGCCAATATTGGCAAAATTAACATTTTTACAGGGTGCGAGACACCAGATGTCTGAATCTACCTACTTTTACAGGAAAAAAGAAACTTTTTCTCCTACATTTTTCAACCAGACCAAACAAATCACTGCAGTTACTCATGACGCAGAGTCTGGCCTGTGGAAAATTAGTCTAATTATCTTGTTCCCTAAATTTCCTAGGTGGAAACTGGCTTAATTTTCTGCTAAGGCAAATAATTGAGCTGCAGGGTAATCAGCTGAGGAACTGGTTGACCTCAGTCTGTCAATCTCACCGTGTTTGCTTCTTTTCCTGTCACACTTGTTATGAAAATTTAAGCAGAAACTAAAATAGTGTTAAGGGTAAGGAAGGAGAAGAATAAAGAAATGGAAAGAAGATTCAAGTGAAAGGACAATGGAAGAACTGAGAAATTAGAAGACTAACATGCCAACAGAAAAGTGAGAAGAGAATGGAAGCAAGGATGGAAATAAAAGGGTGCAAGCTGAGAAAAAGGAGAGAAAGATACAAAAGCAGTTGAGAGGAAAGGTATAAGGATAGAAAGTAAGGATATAGGAGATCAGGTAGGTAAGAGGAATTGTGAGATAGCAAAGAAAGAGAGAAGGAGGAAAGAAGACTGGTGAATCAAAACTGACAGTTGAAAAGAAAATAAAGAACAATTTAATAATTAATGATTGGATGTGGAGTGGATTGTGTGTGGGGATGGCAATGTGTACTTGGTTTGTATGTCTTAAATTGATCAAGAACACACAACACAGTAGGGATCAGGCTGACAGATCACAGCCTACAGCAGAAATGTATCTCTGTGCTGCTAGTTTGATGCCAGTGTGTTTCGAGTTACATAGTAATGATACTGCACCCAGTGTGTATAAGCTCATATAACATCAGTAACAGTGTTTTTGCATGGCAGGATGATGTTGTTAAAGAATACCTCTGGTTTATTACAGTTTTTGCCATCATCCCTTACTGGACTCACCAAAGTAATTGCTGAGATAGGAAAAGGCAGCAACACTGTTGAAATGGAGTCAGTTAGGCTAGTTGTACTGTAAACCAACCCCCAGTTTAACCAGTCTTATCTGACAGAGAAAACAAAGGTGAATGCTCACAGTTTAGACTGACCTGCTGACCTACTTCAGCATTGACCTCTTGCACTTGCTGTAGTTGTTTTCAAGATTTTTCCGGTGCGATGACGGATTATTTCCAACATTGCGGTATGAAGTGTATTTTTACGCTTCAAGTCAGTATTTTGGAGCTATGTGTGTAAAACACTCCACAGAATACGCCAAACCAATGAAAGCTCACTATTCCGACCACAACTTCAGCAAAATAGGGAAATATATGAAGTAAACACAGTTAAAACATAGGATTTTAATTTTCATTTATTGTCCTTTTGGAAATTCTTTTTGTCTGTGGCAAGCAAGTACATTGCATGTTAACACAACACAGATGAGCATACACACCCCACACAAACATCACACTATCACAGTAAACCATAATTTAGAAGCTTGGGACTCACAAAGCACTGTCATACTGTGATGCTTTTTATCTGTGATCTTAATAGACATATTAACAATCGTATTAATTTTGTTCATATTGATTACAGTGAGAAATACCAAGCAATAAAACCAAAGGTTACTATACTCCTATGAAGGAATGATAGAAAAGGACCAGTAAATGTATATCCACATCAAACTGCACATGAAATATAATTGCTGTAGCCCCTTCCTATAAATGGCATTTGTATTTGAGTCCCATGATAATTTTTGCATTAATAACTGTCCCAAGATACTTATATTCATTCACAACTTCAGTACTGTACAGCCCCCATTAACACCTACTCTTCTTGTTTTAAAATCAAAGGTCATTGTGTGGATGCTGTAAAACATCCACACTATGTTCTCCTGTTCTTTATTTATTATTATATTATTCTGGGATCTTCCCCCCTTTTTTGGCACTTAATAAGTCCAGCATACTTTCAGCTAGCAAAGCCATTCAGGTATCAAAATGTTCAGCTCTTCAAGGCCATTCCTACTTTATTGCATCTCATCCTTCAGATTATTCAACAAAGAACTTCAGCCATTTCTTCTCAACTATTTCAACAAAGAACTTCAGCCATTTCTTCTCAACTATTTCAACAAAGAACTTCAGCCATTTCTTCTCAACTATTTCAACAAAGAACTTCAGCCATTTCTTCTCAACTATTTCAACAAAGAACTTCAGCCATTTCTTCTCAACTATTTCAACAAAGAACTTCAGCCATTTCTTCTCAACTATTTCAACAAAGAACTTCAGCCATTTCTTCTCAACTATTTCAACAAAGAACTTCAGCCATTTCTTCTCAACTATTTCAACAAAGAACTTCAGCCATTTCTTCTCAACTATTTCAACAAAGAACTTCAGCCATTTCTTCTCAACTATTTCAACAAAGAACTTCAGCCATTTCTTCTCAACTATTTCAACAAAGAACTTCAGCCATTTCTTCTCAACTATTTCAACAAAGAACTTCAGCCATTTCTTCTCAACTATTTCAACAAAGAACTTCAGCCATTTCTTCTCAACTATTTCAACAAAGAACTTCAGCCATTTCTTCTCAACTATTTCAACAAAGAACTTCAGCCATTTCTTCTCAACTATTTCAACAAAGAACTTCAGCCATTTCTTCTCAACTATTTCAACAAAGAACTTCAGCCATTTCTTCTCAACTATTTCAACAAAGAACTTCAGCCATTTCTTCTCAACTATTTCAACAAAGAACTTCAGCCATTTCTTCTCAACTATTTCAACAAAGAACTTCAGCCATTTCTTCTCAACTATTTCAACAAAGAACTTCAGCCATTTCTTCTCAACTATTTCAACAAAGAACTTCAGCCATTTCTTCTCAACTATTTCAACAAAGAACTTCAGCCATTTCTTCTCAACTATTTCAACAAAGAACTTCAGCCATTTCTTCTCATCTTGCAGCTGTTTCAGCAATTGATTTCAGGCATTTTCAGGACAAGCTTTCATCTTATCAGTATCCACACGCATTTACAACAGGAAATGCATTTCTCTAGTTTCCTTTGTTTTCTTACTATTAAGATGCAGAGAACTGGCCTGACAGCAGTCGGCAAACGTTTTCTGCACTTATACGATGCTTAATTTCATGTGCAGTAATGTAAGTAACCGATGAAAAGAGATGTGCAACACTCTAAACAAAGCGGGTGACTGAGAAACCCCACATTTTAACTGGCATAATGCAGACATAGTAACTTCTCCAGCCTTTCTCTACAGAAACAATGCATTAACAGACCTGCAACATGCGTGGTTCTTTTAAATTTACTGCTAAGTCCCAACGAGTAGTGCAGGGGTGGCCAATTCCAGTCCTCGAGGGCCGCTGTCCTGCTTGTTTTCCAACTATCCCTATCTGTTAATGCGTTGTTTCTGACTGACTGAACACACCTGAACACACCTGAGCCAGGTAATCAGCAGCAGGTCAGGCAGGGATAGTTGGAAAACAAGCAGGACAGTGGCCCTTGAGGACTGGAATTGGCCACCCCTGGAGTAGTGGAAACGTCACTCCCTTTCAAGTCACTCCAAGGACGGTAAATCCAACCGGTGGTCGCTGCGTCTTCCCCCACACGACCATATACAGTCCCAAAGTAGTGAAATTAATTCCAACAGGTAGCGTAGCTTTTCTATGTTTGCCCTAAAGGTTAACAGGTGTATCTTATAAAAACAGTGTGGTAGCCCACATCGGTTACAAATCATTGTGAAAACCATGACATATCTGGATGCTGTGTTTGAGTTCATGTATTGCTGGGAACTCTTTTTAGAAAAAGAAGTAGGCCTATATTGGACCTCAGTTTTTATCCACCAAAGGAAGTGATGTTTGAGAGCTTTCAAGGCTGAATGAACTGACGGGCTCAGACATCTATTGTAGTTTCAGCAATTAAGGAATTAAAGTCAAGCAGAACCATTTGTGGTTTTAGTGCTTGACAGAAATTTCAAACATTGTTATTTAGTTTTCTTTAATAGGACCATTCTCTGCAAATGTGCAAGTGAGCTTTGGAAAACATTCATACCCCCTCCTCCCTGGTTGTCACAAAGCCTATAATAATTATCAGTCTATGTCAATTTGGCATTTTTAAAATGTAGCCTTTTGTGATTGTGTGTGTGTTCCCAGGGCTTTCAGATTTGATCCATGACAACTTGACAGAATCCAAAAGGTCCATTAATCTCCTACAGCGAATGAATATCTACCAGGAGGTCTTTCTCAGTGTTCTCTACAGGGTGTTGCCCATACAGGTAACATATCACTCAGCTGTCATCTATTTACAGTTGGCTTGTAAAACACACAAGATTAATGAACTGCCACTACTGAAAAATGATTGACCGTCTCTTTTCATTGCCATTTTGCACATGACAAAAATGTTTCTTGTGTGAAAAATGTACAACTTTCATTCTCCAATGTTTTGAAATACATGAGCCACCTAAGTTACTGTTAGTTTTATAAATGATCACCATATCATATCAGACATTTGAGATGCTGTGGCATTTTACATTTTGGTCTTTTAGCTGACATCGCTTGGCACGCTTGCACTTGTCACACTGGGGAAAGCAGTTTGTGCATTGGCATATCCATTAACTGAAAAACAGCTACTTAGCTTCGTCAGTGATCTCACTGTGACAAGAATGTCAGGTAGTGAAATATCAGACTGAAATTTGAAAATGTCACAGTCAGTTCCTGCCACTTGTAGTTCCTGTCTGTTCATTTACACTGTCTAATGAACTAATGGTTTCTGTGTGTGTGTGTGTGTGTGTGTGTGTGGCGGGGGGGTCCAGTCATATCTGGAGCCTGTGTATTTCTACATTTACACAGTGTTCTCACTCCAAGCAGTGTATGTGATTGCACTGTACCTTACAGCATGGCTCCTGTCTGGTTCTTGGTTGGCTGGTATGCTCACTGGGATCTGGTACATCCTTAACAGGTGGGTAATTTGTCAACTTGTCAGCATAAGATGGGGCGTTATTTCCTAATGCTTCTTCTGCCTGTTGTTTATATTCTCATAAGAAGCTGTTTTAAAGTTACTGTCATATGCTGCCAATTTTAATGCAGTTATATCTGTCTATCACTTTTCATGTCTTTATACTGTGTAGAAGAACAGTTTCAGCATGCTCAAGGTCCCTCCTTAAGACAGGAGTGCAGTAAAGGTCACATTTAAGAATGATTCCTTATACACAAGGAAAATAACTCAGTTTAATGAGCCACTTTAGCATCACAATTCTGAGAATGAGCCAGTTTTAATGGATGTGGTTTTATGTAGGTTCTGAATATTTTATTTTTAAAGATGTGTTTTATCAAGGATTTGTTTCCCTCATGGTTCAATGAAAAAGAAAATAAATAACCTTGAACAGCAAGTCCCCCTTCATGCCAACTGCTTACATGAAAAAATTCAGCTGAGTACTTTATCTACAAATTCAATAACATGTGGGCAGAATATAAATAATAGCCACAATCTAACTTTAATGCATTACATATTTTTTATGCTTCCGTTCCACAATAGCTACGGCTGGAGGCATAATGATTTTGGGGTGTCTGCCTCTTCGTTTTTACATACATAGAGCCTATGCCTGCAATACACACAATCAAAAAATGACAAAATTGGTGAGAAATTTTATTGGAGCCTTAATGATCTGGTCTTAAATAGTGAGAAGAGTTGAGGACTATTTCATGTGGTAAATGACTGCTTTCAGTTATATGGGACAGCTTGTTCATTTATTCATCTAAATCAGTCCCATTTATGACTTAAGCAAAAGTCAGATAAAGTGTCCTGTTCACATTTTTAATATGTGTACTCCACCACAAGCTAATGTTTCAAAACACATGGATGCCCATTCAAGGCTTGGTACTATTATTGATGACGGCTATTAGTGGAGTAAGAGAGTGATAAATGCTTGAGTTTGTTATAGTACTTGAATTAAGATCTTGAGCTAAATTTGTGACCTGTCTGTAGTAGTCTGTCAGTCCTATAGCGTGATGGCCAGTAACAGAAATGATACTATTAAGCTAGAAATTAGCAAATTTCTGTGCTATTATGTAGCAAGAGTAACATTTCAATTATTCCTGTAGGTGCAAGTCAGTCTTCCTGGAAGTCAGCAGCCAAAAAAAAATTCATGGCACATTTTCCTGTAAACCACAAGATTAAATAAATGAGATACGGTGACTTTGTTTTTGATCTATAACTTGTTGCCTGTATTTCACCAGGGCTCCCCTGGGTTTTGAACCTCAGTGAGGCTATCCCTGGCACAATAAGGGTTAAATAAATAAAAAAAATCAATTCAGATTTACAGGTTTTGGGCAGGCTGATTTTGTTGCCTAGGACAGACCCAGGCTAGCTTTTTATCCATTCCCAGTTTTCATGCTAACACTAAGAGAAAGACAATCACACACACACACACTCCTGGAAATTTAGAGTTGCCTGTCAACCTAGGCTGCTTGTCTTTGGTCTCAAACCTGAAACTTACTCCTGTGAATTGACAACGCTAACCACTGCGTCACCATGCCACACTTCTCACCTAACCCTTGGCTAAATAAGGAATAAGTCTGTTTTCCAGAATGTTGAATTACTTTCTTTAAGAGGACAAGGAGACCTTTCTAGTTGTCTTTAGTGTGAGTTAGTGTTGTGTGCTGTTTTTGTGCAGCTTGCCGTGTTTATGGAAATGTGCCAGAAGTTGAAATAAGATCAGAAACCCTGCAGGCGTTTTCTCTGCTGTCCGTTTGGATCAATAGACAAGCAAAGTTTCTGTGGTGACTCTTGTAAACTGTAAAATGAAAGGTCATGGAGTTTTACAATTCAGAAAATTTACACAAAGAGCTGCCAAAAGGATCAAAAGGAAAACAGCAGAGTTTGAAGCGTATTCATATTTCACTTGAAACAAATACAAATTTGTATATTACACTATTGTTAAAAATAACTTTTTCTCGATCATAGTAGCTATCGTTGAATCAGCTGTTCACACCTTAACTGATTCCAGTGGTTGTTTTGCTGCATCAACACAAACCACAGGATGTAGCAAAAAGATCTACACAGAATGCTTCATATATCTTTAGTTTTTATTATCACATCATTTTTAAACTTCATTTCCACCATCCACCTATGTCTCCATCCCTCCTTTGCTCCCTCTCTCCTTCTTTCAGGGTAGATACCACCCGTGTGGAGTTCACTATCTCCCTCAGGGAGAACTGGTCTTTGCCCTTCTTTGCGCTGCAGGTCACTGCTATCACATGTTACCTCAGGCCACAGCTCACTGCCTTAGACACACTGCGCACACACACACACACACACACACACACACACACACACACACACATCAAAGCTATTGACTGTCCTCATGTGCTCAATAATCTGCTGTTTCTAAAAGATGCTAGTAACACAGTAGGAATGACTTTATATCAAATCAAATCAATTTATTTATATAGCACTTTAAAAACAACTGGTTGACCAAAGTACTTTACAAGGGCACGTAGCACTTTAAAAACAACTTCTGGTTGATCAAAGTACTTTACAAGGGCACAGTAAGAACTAAAATAAACAATATCAATAGAGGAATAAAACAACACAGAAACATAAACACACAAACTACACAGAATCAACAAATAAAAGGAGGAAGCATCAGACAATACTAGGTATTAACAGCCAAAGTGAATAAATATGTTTTAAACAATGATTTAAAAGTTGTCAAGTCTGTAGATGATCTAACATTAAGAGGTAAACCATTCCACAATTTAGGAACTGCAACAGTAAAAGCACAGTCACCCCAGCGTTTGTATCTGGCCCTGGGCACCTCTAA